CTTATAAACATGGAAGACCTGAAGCAACTGAAGTTAATTAAACACTCTGATATTGTAATATGTGCTGCAAAATTATCTAATATGATGTCGGTTGTAGCATGCATTCTTGGCTGGAATATCCAGTTTATCAAATGGTCTCAATACTTCATTTGAATTATATACAAATTGGATTCACTAGGTGGTGATGATATTCACGTATAGCATGGGCATAAGGGATAAAGTTGCTTTTTTCAAACATTTCAAGATAAAATACTTTAAAATCATAAAAAAAAATAATAATAAGAAAATAAAATACTTATTTTAAAAGTAACTGTTACCGTCCTCTCAAAATTAACATACTCATTTGTAATTTTGATGAATAAAGAAAAATCTTATTTTGAAACTTATTTACTTATAAGCGAACTTTTTTAGCTTAACCAAATGTTTTCTTTCTAGAAAAATGTATATATCCATAAGCTCAGCACAAGCCATATGAAGTCAGGAAGAGCAAAGTAAAAAAAGAATTGAGGGAATTATTAGACAATCATTTACAGGTAACATTCCAACCCCATATTTGGTTAGATGGAATGTGAACCTTATGATTTAAACTTGATACGTAATTTAGCTTTAAATTGTATTTTAAAATGTCTAAAAAAAATCAAAATTTCACACTAGTGTTACTTCCTTGCAGAAGGAAATGCAATTGTTGAGAACACAAATCAAATTATTGATGATAATACCCTTACATAAACTCAAGGAATACATAGACATTGAATACATATATAATAGGAGCATCAACTAACTTTAAAGTAATACTATTATTTTGTGTTCATCTGAACTATTATTTATCTTTATACCTTTCTGCTGTTTACCAAGCTTTTAGAATGTTAATTTCTTATTAAGACAAACTGGTAAATACAAATCTGAAATGTAACCAACAAATATTTTCGTGAAGGTACAATGGTGGTGATCCAATATCTGGAGATGATCGACCATACATGGTGGATACGGTGTTTACATACCATCTTGAAAAAGCTACAAAGATAGGAGTTGGATTAGGGTGAGGAATTCAAAAATTCCTTTGAGTTGTAAGGCCACACCAAAAGCTTCAGCTAGAAAGAAGGTAGGAGAGGAAATTTGTTTCGATGCTGGGACACCTTGTGCTAATTGATTGCTAGTAAGTTCTAAAAAATGTGTTCAACCTTCATAATTCTAAGTTGAAAAGGGAATAAAACCACTATTCTAAATTATATGTTCTTGGCTATATGTGTTTGTAATGCTTATCAATAGTTGTGCCTTGCATTTTGTTTCCAGGGGTTGCCCCTAAGCATACCATCTGTCTTGTGTAAATCGAGATGAGGCCTTATTCAACACGAAAGGTTGCTGGAATTGCAATAGGTGCCTCTCTTTATCTCAACTCACATGCACAAATTTGGAGAAAGTAATGCATGTTTTTATGAGTTAATTTGATGGAAAATTGGGCTTGTTATGTAGGCGGTCTTATTATTGGCCTCCATGTGAATATCGTTGTCATATCATTCATACGGACGTAATTAGATTTTACTATAATTGTTAATTGTATTAAGGTGCAGTTGTCTTCCATGCCAAAATGTGCTTATCTACTCCTTCATTAGTGCATCTTGCAATATTGAATAGTAATGTCTTCTCACATTCACGGTTCCAATTATTATTTTTGAATTTTCTGAAGAAGTCTTCGAATTTTAACCAAATCGAAGTATTATACTTGTACATTAAGTGTTAGTTTTTCAGAGAAATGTCTATATTAATTGAAAATTGTAAAATGCCTATATTAATTGAAAATTGTAGGGTTAATTTTTCCGAGAAATGTCAACCTCGAGTGTGCATTGAGTGTTGGTAGTGTTTTTTCGCGAAACTAACAAAGAATGAAGACAGAAGAATCAAGATCAAGAACCACGCACATGGACAAACTTTTTGAAGCTTAACGATTGAATTAACTAGCGTGGAAGTAGAAATCGAGCATTCGCATCAAAAATCACATTGGAAGAAGAGATAGAAAACTTTTGCTATAGATGTGTTTTTGTGCTCAAATGTAAAATATTTCAAATTGATTATAGCTCAAACAATTTTTATGCACGAGACTCTTTCACGACAAACAATACTTGCATAAATATTATTTTTCAAAAGATAAGTATCTCGATTTTCAAGATTATATATTTATAAAATATTTATCTATACAATAAGTGAGAAAATCCTTCAAGTACCGGCATGAAAATTTCATCACGAAGAAGAAAGTTCGTAGAGGCATTTTTTTGCCCATCTGGATGTTTGGATGAACCTCCCAACATTCATTTTAATGATCGTTTCTCAAATGGCTAGTTACCCATCCAGATCCCAAGTGAACGTTTGGATCTCGTGTCCGGATTGACAGATTTTTTACTGTTTAATGGCTATATATACCCCACTTTCTACCACAATTATCACAACAATTTTTTAGGATTAAAGTGAAGCATTTATTGATCTTTTCTACCTTAATTTTGAATTCTTAAAAGATTAAATCATTTAATTTTTGAAAAACTTTTTGAATGATCAAAAATTTGTAAAAGTCATATATCTCAATTAAAGTTTTTCTTATACAACACTTGAGCTATATTCTTTGTAAAAATCATATATCTCAATTATTGAAGTGTTGTACCTATTTCTCTCTTGATTCTTAATTAAGTTCATATCATTAATTAAGAGAGAAACTTTTAACTGTAATTTCATTGTTGTTTTTGGATTGTGGGTCAGTTGAGGTCCCGAAAAGCTCAAAGGTGTAAAAGGATTGGTGCTCCTTGGTTTTAAGTCACCAAAAGCGTTATAAAGATTGGATTACACCATAAGTTAATCACATTTAATGGAAAAGGCATTGTTTGTAACGGGAGATGTAGATCATTGATTGGATCGAACCTCCATAACATATCTTTTGCATCTTCTTCCCATTTTCTTTTGTTATTTTCAAATTATCTTGCTTGCTCATTATCTAACTTGTAAATTGATTAAATTAGCATTTATTTTCGAAAAAGGTTTAAATAACTAATTCACCACCCTCTTGGTTAGTCATTCTTGGGCTTTCAAAATTGTCGCAGATTTAGAAACGTTGAAGGTTAAGTACGATAAAGAAGATCTTCTCTTGATCTTGTTATGTTCGTTGCCTGATTCTTACGAGTCGTTCAAGACACCATTTTGTATAGTCGGGATACTTTGACTATAAACGACATCTAATATGCTTTGCTCTCAAAAGAGAAGTTGAAGCATTTGGTTAGAGCTACATTGAGGGATGAGGAAGCTCTTATATCTCATGGTGGGCGATGGAGGGGCAAATCGAAGAATAACAGCAATTTGTTTTGCTTCTACTACAGATGTAAGGAACATATTCGGAAAGATTGTGATATGTTGCAAGTTAAAGGTGATTTAGATATAAATCGTGAAGTGCAACCTTTGACTTCAGATGAAACAAATACAATTGAGGATTTTTTAGATGGCGAAGATGTGATGTTGACCGTGATATCTGACATGGAATCTAAGCCTAACGTGGAATGGATTATTGATTCGGCATGTTCACATCATATGTGTTCCAATTGAAATTTCTTTAAGACATATGAGGCTGTCAAACAAGATGAAGTTGTGATGGGAAACAACCAGTTTTACTGTGTTGATGGAATCGATCGCGTCAGATTATGATAACAGGATGGGACAGTCAAAACAATTGATCAGGTTCGACATATTCCAGGCCTGAAAAGGAATCTCATCTCACTTAGTACTCTAGATGCAAAAGGGTATAAATTCTCTGGAGGTGGAGTTTTGAAGGTCCGAAGAGGTGTCCGGGATGTACTTGAGGGACGAACGAAGTCTCAATTGTACCTCTTGCAGAGAAGCGCAGAATCAGTTAAGAGACATCGTGACAAGTTCAATATAGTGGTAGATATTCAATTTGGTACAATATCTCTTGTGATGGGCTCTGGATCGGTTCAGAACATTGCTTAGGGGAGCATTGGAGATTCCGCTTAGCCAACAATTTCAGCAGATACCCTGTGTTCATTTGCTAAGGTTTGACTCATGGAGCGTAGGTGCCATGATGTTAATAATATTTGGGATGCTTTTGGGAACGTTGAAGGCGATAATTCTAGCAATGGGCCTTCTGATCCAGCATATAGTATGGTTTCTGCTACAAAGTGTGTTTCGACCTTGTTCGGTCAACAGTAATTCCTCGGTGAAATTTTGGGAACCTAGGATTTGGGTTCAAATATCGCTTGTGGATGCCTTGCAGAGGATTATGGTTTGGTTTGAAGAGTTTTAGTTACTGCGTTGAGGAGATTGGTTATTTTGATGCAGACGAATTTGAAATCTTGGAGTTTCATTCGTTGCATCAGAATTTAGGACAAGGTGGAGATTGTTGGGTTTGTGACCAAATTAGGGTGGATTTTTTCTTTAGAAATAAATTGTTTCCTTATTTTCATATGGGAAATTTAGTTTCTTTATATTTCACGTGATTTTTATGAAAATATATTATTTTCTTACTTCACATTATTTCGACCTTTTCTTCTCTTTCAATTTTGTTCAAACAAAAATTGTTGAGTTCTTATATTTCTCTCCATAGTGTCGATTAATAAAATTTCGTACTTCTGCGATTAACTCTCTTTGTTAATTTCTTCACTTTTAAATCTTGTTTTTGGTTGCGATCTTTATTACTTCATATCGCGTCATGAATCTCATTTATTACAATCTCTCTGGGTCCAATAGTACTTTCATATTATCTTTATTGATTCACAACCTTTCAAATCAATACATATTTAAGTTGGATAATGTTTTAAACTATAGCATCTAAAATCTTAAGTTGTTAACTTCAAGTAGTCCATCTCATGTGAACACCTATTCATTTTTATCAAAGGCGACTAATACATGCACATTCTTCCTAGATGGATGACAAGGAGAATTTTACTCTGAATATTTACTTATACTAATACCAGTTCAAACCACCTCATATAAAATTTTATTCTCAATGAGTAAACAAATTTATTTATTTAAATCCTGTCTTTAACACATCCGACCACTTTATATTTTGAACAAGAAACAGACTATAAGAAACTTAACAATCTTCATTGTTTAGGTAATACAAACACCACAAAGTAACACAAACTGATGGACACAACTGACACCACTTGCTGCAAGAGCTTACACAGGCAACTGCTATTTTTTAAAACGAAAGCACTCGAGGATTACTGGAAACATAAACACAGTACAATCTTGCAGACAGGTACAAGACTTGACCTCCAACAAGTACATGGAACCATGTAGTAACAGACGACGTGATTATATAAGGTTCATTGATTAGCAATGACGGTAGTAACAGTAGCAACCATAATGCTTACTATGGCGATTTTTTAGACAAGCACCGTGGTAAGCTCCCTCATGGTGAATACAGTAACTGCTGCATTTATGAGGAGCACACAACCCACGCCATCCTTTGCTAAGTTTTGTGCAAGGTTTTGCTTCCCCCGTTTGCATCTCTGCACAAAAGTTGGATCGGGAAAGATAAATAGTATCAGTTATTTGATAAATTTACGTCTATATTTTCCTTTACTATTAAGAACACTTCTTTTACTAAATTGTATATATTCTGTAAGTTTCTTTTCATATTAAGAAAAACGAAAAACAAGCCAAAATTCACTTGATACCACACATATATTGGATATTTATTTATTTATTTTGGTGAGAAAATGTCAAAAAAACTATTATGCGACGTGCACCATCTTGGGGTGAGAGATGGAAAAAGGGTTCGTTAAACTGTCGGGTTATTTTCTCATGATAATCATATGCATGGTGCATGGAAAAATAATGAATAAGGTGATGATATATCTTGTTACATTCAACTAGACAGAATTAGACTTGATTAAACGTGAAAAAAATAGAGTACTTCTTTCAACAAATCTTGTTCAGTCCTATGTACTGAACATGACAATGTTTTCCACAATGAAACCAGTAAATGGAAAATTAACCATCCGCTCATGGAGTGCAAAACTACCTACCGTAGGCTGCAAAAATGAGGAAGCAGAAGAAGAGAGCAAGAAAAGTAGTCTTGTTGAGTTTGGCCATCTCTATGTACTCTTAATTTCAAGTGTTTGTGATAATATAGGAGTAAGAAGATGTATTTATAGATAAACGAAGCAACTGCACAATTCAACATATTTTTTTAATCAAATTTGAATAATGAGTGATGACTGAATCAATCAAGACTGATATTTATGACTGCTTTGTAATAATGTCTTTGAATGAGTTTGTGTACAAAAAATTAAAAAATAAAAATAATAATAATAATAATAATAATAAATAAATAAATAAATGATAATATTATGATTCATGTTTTTTAACACGTTATCTCAGCTTGAAAATGATTCAATTAATTATGTATAGATCAATGATAAGGATAAAACTACTTGTAGCTGGTTGACAATCTAAAGTCTTCACCAAACCTGCAGTTTAAAATATCGATTAAATCAAACGAAATTCTATGCTCATGCCAAAATGGTCGAGTACCTCGTTTTTGGATATGGTTCAATCAGCCAAAAATGCGGTGTCAATTATAAGAGAAAATATTTATGCTCGCTATAAGCCCATCATAATAATTTGTTCATATAATTTATTTTATTTACTTCAATGTAAATTGATTTTTGAAATAGATGTGAAAAAATTCTTTCAGATACTTCCTTTTACTATAATAATTCATAAATTATAATTCAATTTCTATTGTTGTTAAATATGTTTATATACACGAAGAATCGTGTCGTAGAAGGAAGAATGCAATGCATAAAATTAGTATAAATGTGAAATCAGCAAGATATATTGGCAATAGATTCATATATATAATAACATGAAGAGGGGACATTAGACTTTTTGATCTTTTAATCCTTGTTTGAATCAATGCCCATATACTTAAAAAAACATGTCAATTTTAAGTTGCCTTCTCATTATAAAGGACAGGATGAAAGCAATCTTTTATTTTTTTTATTTTTTAAATTTGTTAGGATAATTGAAGAGAAAATGATACGATAAACGTACAAGTGAGTACTATGAACAAGTCATGAAAGTGATCGTACATGGAATAACATATAATAATGTTGACCGTGAAAGTACCAAATTAAAAGTTTGAATAGATCATAGTTTCCCACTATGAATTCTTGGACTTCCTCAAACCATGTTGATGATCATATTGATTTGTATATTCATTTTGCATAAAGAATTACAAGAAATTTAATAAATACAAATGTTGTATATAATATTGAATCAAGTAGAAGACGAGGTTATTTGACATTGGGTATTCAAAGTTTTCAACGGATGTCCAAACGATATTTGATTTAAAAACATATAACCACTATAAAGGCAATCTTTTCATATTTTAAGATTCTTCACCAAGGCTTAACTTAGTATTACAAAACAAAAAACAAAAAAAACAAAAAAGGGAAGAAGAAGAGAAGAAAAGAAAAGAAACTGAACATAACAATTCGGTCCATTTAAAAGTTTAAATGAGGTGGAGTGGCCAATAAAAAGAGAAAACGAGTGCGCGATAATGACATCCTATTCAAAGATGTATGTGATCAACTTACTTATGAAAAATTAGTTGGAAGAACATATTGTATACTTTGAGGGAAACCTAAGCGAATATTTTGGATTTGCATAAAGAAAAAATCATTAAATTTTGTCTCTATGGACTAATGAGAAAATTAATGGGCTCGGCATGTACATGAAACCTAATGTTCTCTCTAGCCGTAACGAAAGAAGTTAATCGATCAAAGTATACTTTTTGCATGTTATGCGTCCTTGACAATCACACAATATTACAGGATCAAATTTGAAGAACATAAAAGATGAAGGACCAAAGTTATGAGTTTGGGAAGATGGAGGATCAATCTCAAAGCAATTGGAAGTGATAGATCCTAACTTGAACAATTTAAAGATGGAAGGACGAAATGTGAACCTAAGGGGGCTACTTTGCTTTGGTTTTCCCACGCGAAATTGTTCTGAAGGTCGCTTTTTCAGTTTTCATGGGTGCGAAACACTACTCTTTGATGTTTTTTATGCTAGTGAAAAATCTCGAGACATTGTACAATGATCCGAACACTTTGTCAAGCTTTTTCACTCTTTCTATGCCTCTTCCTTGCACTGATTTCTTCGCTAAGGTAACTTATTTCTTCTACTGAGCCAGAGATAGTTTTTATTTGTGAACATGCCCTTTCATCTTCCTATTGCATGGAGCACACCAACTTGATTGTTTCGAGCCTCTTTTCATCTCTACTTTTCTCAAACTCCATCCAAGCTTGGGGCAGTCAACTAAGGTACAAATACACACTATAATAACTAGCAATTATGTAACAAATGGGTGCAAGGTATGTTTACTATGAACTTTAAGCCCCAATCTAATGGAGATTGAAATCATATTTTTAGTAGATTTTGGTAAAAATTCATAAAATATGTGGTTGAGAAGCTATGGATTTTATGAAATATGTAGTTAGAATTAATTGTTGACTTTAATTTGGATAAAAATCTAAATTTTAATTTCCTTAAAACATGTATTTTATAAACATGAAAGATAAAAGCAATGGATCTCATTATGGTACCCAGAAAAAATAAAAAATAAATAAAAATCCTTTATTGCAGCAATTCAATTATTTTGGGTACATATTAACATTATTAGACCGTGTCTTTGAATTTTCCATTGGAGAAGCACAAAATCCATTTCTATTAACAAGCACAACCGAAAATATTTCAACGAACAAGAATTGTTATTTTAAGGTAGTTGAAAGTTACCTACAAAAAAATTGTACTTAATTTACCAACGGGTTTCACTACAACTAGGTGTACATAGTGTCCAATACCCATCAATGATGAAATGCCATTTGGACATTATGTACATCAGTGTATAAATCCTAATGTACATATAGAATAATTCTTTACCGATAGTATATTTTCATCACAAGCCTATTCATGAATCATGCTACCAATTTCAGTGTGTGTAGTCAATCCACAAATCAATCATACATCACCTACGACAGAATATCCATATGTAAAGCCAAGTAATGTCAACCAAGCATTACCTACGGGAAAATTTATGGATGTCTCCGTCTATCTTCAATAATCATTCCGTTGGTGATGACCATAACTCGTGGAGACTTTTTCACCTGTGGATAATTCATAGGCGAAGAGTTCTCCATTTTACGAAAAATGAAAAATTATTGAAATATCATTAAAAACATTCTAATAGCTCAAATATCAAATAATAGTTGTCAAATAGAGGCTAAATGTGTTTATGATGCTTTATTTGCCTCAGTTTCATAACCATGGCTAATCAAAATCAAGTTTTTATGATGGTTCCAGCTATGTCCAAATATATATATGGGTGTCCAATGATGGTATTACGACCTATAATTATGCATTTTAAATAGATATCATACATTTTGGGGGTGATATTGTTGGCTTTTGATACCTAATAAATTCGGATGATGATTTAAAACGGTATTGGATAATTATATGGATATTATAGCACTTGGCTCGACCTGGAAACAACCAGTACAATTTGAGGATGGCCCAAATTGTGTATTAGTATTTAGCTTTGGTTAGGTGGTGATGTTGGTTAAACAAAACCCAAGCATTGAGGTTTTCATCACAAATAAATAATATTTTCATTCTATTGTATGTTTGTCAAATCCAACTTGCAACCTTGTACTTTCATATTATCTTTCTCAATTCACAACCTTTCAAATCAATACACATTTAAGTTGGGTGATGCTAAACCACGTCCTCTAAAATCTTAAGTTGTTATAGTCTTTACACTTTCCATCTCATGTGAACACCCATTCATTTTTATCAAAAGGCGGTTAATACATGCAAAATCTTCATAGATGGATGACAACAAGAATTTTACTCTGCACATTTACTTACTCTAATGCCACATCAAACCATCTCGTATAAAATATTATACTCATCTCTAACTCATCGGACCACTTTATACCTTGATGAAGAAAGAAACTACAAGAAACTTAACCATCATTATTAAGGTAATACAAATACAACAAAGTAACCCGAACTGATGGACACAACTGACGCCACTTTAGATAATATAGTTTTCAACTTTAATCAAATATATAAATTACTATTTTTTTTATTTTTATTTTTACAATTTAAACTTGATAATAAATACATAAAGTTTCATGAGTGAAAGTAAAATTCGCTAAATGTATTTGATTTATTAAATTTATAGAAAATTGAATTTCATAACAATATCGCTATAAATCACATGCAACGAACGTGTGGTGTACTAGTATATATATAGTAAAAGAGTAAATATATGAGAAAAGAAAATTTCATATCTGTACTTTTAAAATGATAAGGTAATGAAATATCACGTAATTATCACCTGAACTCTTGATGATCATGAGCCTAGATACATGGAACTATTCAAAGTCAATCCTTCTCTTCTCCATGTCTCTATTATGATCGAGATCTAAATCTTTATGACGAAAGAAACAAATGTTTTTCTAACATGATCTTTTGACTTCATCTTCAAAAAATTTCTTCTTTCTGAGTCTGTAGTAAATATTGCAAAATAATGTAGAATTAACTTAGCGAATGACAACTGTTGTTACTATTTTATTATGAGGATGTTTGGTGAAAATTAAAATCAGGTTTTTTAGTAGATTGTGACAGAAATTTTTGAAATGTGTGGTTGAAAAGTTGTGGAATCCATAAATGATATGGTTAATATATATTTGACTTTAATCTAGACTGAAATCAAATTTTAATCAAAACCAAACGTGGGCTATATTTGTTAAGGGATAAATTCAACATCAGTTAAGTACTGAAATATAGAGTAACATATAAGGTATTGGACTACTCTTAGTAAAATTGATCTTTTAACATAAAACCCTAAATCTTTACACTACAATGGTATAATGGCATATAATTATGCATTATAAATAGAAAATGATGTTTTTCAAGTCCAACTTGCAACCGTCTATTGAATGTTTTTCAAATCCAACTTGCAACCTTGTACTTTCATATTATCTTTCTCAATTCACAACCTTTCAAATCAATACACATTTAAGTTGGGTGATGCTAAACCACATCAT